ATCCTATCCTATCCTATCCTATCCTATCCTATCCTATCCTATCCTATTCCATTCCATTCCATTCCATTCCATGCCATTCCATTCCACTGAATGTACACTGATCAGCATACATTGAAATGAAATTTGGTTGCACCCAGTTCTCAAAGGGTCAAGGTACATGGAAGAAACATGGGACCAGATCAGCCATTCCAACGAAGTGAATGCCTGTGGATTGATTTTGTATCTTCTTTCTTTCCCCAGTATATGGGTTGTATTGAGATCCTGCGATCAATGCGATCTTTGGATTTTAACACCCGGACACAAGTCACCAAGTAGGTACCCCTTGTCTATCTTCTTCTTTCTTCTCTGGTCTTGTTCTCTTCATTGCCAGATGTTTCATTACCAGGTTAGTCTCAAAGTTGTTTTTTTTTTCCCCAAGGGGCAAGTGGACTTTCTGTTTTTTCTTTGAAGATGTTTCGTTTCTCATCTAAGAAGGTTAACGTCATTGGTTTCTCACTCCACTCCTTGGGAGAGCTTCATAGCTCCCGCTGCCTTAAGAAAGTTCAAAACATTCTCAAAGATCCATCTCATCCTGGGCATCCCCCTCCCTTTTTTTTTTGAACTATTACCATCTGGTAGACGGTACCGGATAATAAAAACAAGGACAAATAGGCTGAAAAACAGCTTCTATCCCAGGGCGGTAGCTCTGCTGAATTCTACTGTATAGTGCAATATGAATGCAGTATCAGGGGTTTTCAATTCAGTTGTATAGAATGTGTGAAGGATGTGTGTTTGTGTTTATTTTCATAGTCATAATGTACACTGAAGATGGTATTTAATTTCATTGTACAAGGTACAATGACAATAGAGTAAACTAAAGCTACTGTCATGCCCCTGCTGGAATCTGATTCTGAGGGGGAGGTGGAACAGCTGACAGGGAGGGGGAGTGTGGCTCCAGTGGCTGTGGAGGAAACTGGGGAAGGGCACAGGCCGGCTGGGCATTCAGAGGAAGACCCAGGCTCACCCCCTCTTCAAACTAGGGCACACAGGGAGGAACGGAGAAGGGAGCAACGTGAGTTGTGTGACTTACGGGGAGGAAAGGGCCCTGATCCCCTTCATGGGCTGCAGCTGGGAAGACTATTTAAAAGAGCAAACCGCACATGGCAAAGCTGCTGGAAGCAAAGCGTGAAATTATTCTGATTTGTCAAGTCTTACCTGAGTTCTGGCGTCCTCCCAAGTGTGTGTATTTCGTCATCCTTTGACGTCTTCAATCCCTTTTCCTGCCCTGTCTCGTTAATTGCTGCAGTGTGGTTTGTGTTGGTTTTTATTTATAATGTATATGTACTTTGAGTTTGGATGGAATGTCTTCCCTTGAAAAGCTGTTCTCCGGAGAGGTTTTTCTCCACCCGATGATAATTGGACATTGGAGTCCAAGTTGGAGGAATTAAAGGGACTTGACCTATTTTTGTGACTTGGTTGCTTTTGTGCCACGCCCTGGGTCATCACAGCTACTTCAGAGCCACTTCAGACTGAGGAAGCTTCTTGGATGAGAAGCCAAATGTCTTAAAAAAAAACCAAAAACCCAGAAAGTCCATTTGCCTCTTGGAAGAAAACAACTTTGGGACAACCACGACGTGGAGGACCGAGAATCTCTACAGAGAGTTACCAATAGTTATGTAACCTCCTTGGTACATAAAAGAGTAGAATTTGCTGGCTGCTTAGATGTGGTCCCTTGTCTTACCAGCCTTGATTGCTTCTACCAGTAGAGATCGTCCTCAACTTACAACAGTTCGTTTAGTGACCGTTCGAAGTTACAACTGCACTTTAAAAAGTGATTTATGACCGTTTTTCACACTTACGGCCATTGCCGCATCCCCATGGCCATGTGATCAAAATTCAGACGCTTGGCCAACAGACTCATATTTGTGACGGTTGCAGTGTCCTTGGGCGGGGGGGGACGGTCATGCGATCCCCTTTTGGGACCTTCTGACAAGCAAAGTCAATGGGGAATCCAGATTTACTTAACAACTGTGTTACTAACTGAACAACCGCAGTGATTTGCTTAACAGATGCGGCAAGAATGGGGCAAAACTGTGGTCCAATGGGTCTAAACTCGCTTAGCAACAGAAATTTTGGCTCAATTTTTGTCAAAAGTCAAGGACTACCTGTAATATAATATAACTAGCTCGATACCCATGAAACTATGTGGTCGGGCTTAGTTTTTTGGGAGGAAAATAAGGAGAAAAAATTCTGCCTCTGCCTACCAGCATCCATGGGTATTCATCTGGCTAGCGTCCTGTCAGTGTGTGAGAGAGTTGAGGGCTGTTTGGAAACTGAAACAGTATTTGCTGTGTGAGCAAGAAGGAGACAGCAAGGAGCCTGGGCGTGGCTTAGCTCAACTGTTCTGTACTAAAGCTGCTTGATACTGTGAAACTGAAACTGAAACTCCTCTGCTTGTGTTTTGCATTTGGAAGAGATTTATTTTCAGGTGGGGAGGGGGAGAAGAACTCCTTAGCATCAGAGCGTGTTAATAATAATATACGAAATATTAATGCTCTGATGCTGGCAACCAGCAGTCAGCAGAAGTAGCTAGCAGTACTACACTCTAACCACTGCCCTACCATCAGGGGTGGGATTCAAATATTTTAACAACCAGTTCTGTGGGCGTGGCTTAGTTGGTGGGCATGGCTTGGTGGTCATGTTATTGGCTGGGCGTGGCCAACTCAATATCACTCACATCGAGGCACGCATCTCCTTGCCTGGCCTCTCATGACTGTGGGAATGCTGCAACAGTCGTAAGTGTGAAAAATGGTCATAAGTCACTTTTTTCAGTGCCACTGTAACTTTGAGTGGTCACTTCACACAAGCAAAGCACCAGCAAAGGAGGGGAAAAAAACTCCAGAGAAGTTCCAGAGACAGGAAGTGCCAAGAATGTAAAAAGGGCTAACGGAGAGGAGAGGCAGTTTCTGTAAGCAACTCCAGAATGTTTCCTTCCTTACAGGATTAGGCCAGTAATTTCTTCTAACAACCAGTTCTCCGAACTGCTTAGAATGTTAACAACCGGTTCTAGAGAATAGGGGCGAACTGGTAGAATCCCACCCCTGCTACCATGGTTCTAACGTCTTTTTCATAAGATATCTTTTTTTTATGGGAAGATACAAGTAGTCCTCTATTTATGACCACAAGTGAGCGCAAAATTCATGTTGTTAGGTGAAACATTTGTTAAATGAGTTTTGGCCCATCGTGCAACTTTTCTTACCACAGTTGTTAAGTGAATCATTACAGTTATTAACTTAGTAGCCCGGTTGTTAAGTGACTTTGGCTTCCCCATTGACTTTGCTTGTCGGAAGTTCACAAAAGTGGATTACATGACCCCGGGACACTGCAACCGTCATAAATGTGAGTCAGTTGCCAAGCGACTGAATTTTGATCATAGGGATGCTGCAGATGTGAAAAAACAGTCACAAGTCACTTTTTTTTTCAGTGCTGTTGTAGCTTTGAACGCTCACTAAACAAATGGTTGTAAATTGAGAAGTACGTGTAATTTGTCATGTTGTTGTTGTTTTTAATTAGGGATTATAGCCAGACAGCCCCCAGCATCTTTGCCTGAGAAAAGCAGATGGACACTACTGACATCCTGACACTGCCATGCAATTTAACGTGGTTAATTAGATCAGTGAAAATAATAAGAGATCTATTTGTAGCATAATGCAAAGCCTGGTGAGCTTTCCGATTGGATCATGTTTTTGTGGTTCGGTGTGATCTTTTGGAGTAATTTTTACAATTTGAGTCGTTTGCAAAGTAGGGCATTCCCCAAGTGAACGAACCCAAGCTTTGGCTAGATGACTAAAACTAGCTAAAGCGACACCTGATGAAGATTTGTTTTGTTTTCTGGAATTAATATCAGGGGTGGGATTCTACCGGTTCTGTCTGGCTCCGTAGAACTAGTAGCTCTGAATCAGAGAAGCAGACACAGCACCGTGAAAAATGTAAATCACTAACACCGGTTGGATCCCACCCCTGACTAATATCCACCCTGAAACTATCTTTGCTGCAGGGAAGCCATCAACCGACTGTACGAGACAGTCCCAGGAGTCAGAGGCAACTGGAAGAAAAAGGTGAGTTTGTTCGTACGACTGCAGATCTTCCCCCCACACCACAATGAGTAAAAAGTAAAGGAGTTCTTGCGGATTATACTCCGCTAATCGTTGCCGACTCTAGGAGCCGGTGCTCATCTCTGTTTCAAGGCCATTGAGCCGAAGACAGTTCCATGGTCATGTGGCCAGCATGTGGTCACAGAGTGCTATTACATAGTGGTACCTATTTATCTACTCGTGTTTGCATGCTTTTGAACTGCGTGTTCTGACCAAGGCTTCCAAGACCGTAATTAGGCACGTGCTTATTTTAAAAACAAGTCTTGTTTTATTGCAATGCTGGGAATTATTTTCATTCCCAGTCGGTAATGAATCTCAAACAGTCCCTCAAGATAAGCACCCACCTTTCTTTCCTGCGAAGTGCTGCCAATAACAGAAGTGTCAAATAAACTAGAACAAAAACCAACCGAAGTACAAAGAGCTTCAAGAATGAATCTGAACCGAACAAAGAACTTTGCTTCCTGCAAGGGTTTCGTCACCTTTGCCTGTCCTTTATAACTTATGGGAGGGGCAATCACCTCCAAGCCTTGCTCCCAAGTCGCCCCTTTTTTCTCAGCTACTCTTGCCTTCTAGCAGCTCTGCACACACACGCACTGGGAACAGGCTCTCCTTGTTCCTCGGCCTCGCTGCTGCCAGACTCCAGAGGCTCCGGAGGCACCACCCCACTCCCAGATGGTCCTGGCATTGGATGCAGGACCTTCATCCGAGTCCTCTCCAGGTCCCGGACTGGTCCCCTGTCTTCCCCACTGTCCGATTCTGCTGCCGTCTGCACAGGCTGCCGGCGAACCACAACACTGAGTTGGGATGAGGACGGGAGCTCACCCAGTCGCGTGGCACTCGGGTCTCAAACCTGGACTCCTGGCTTTCCATCTGACAAGCATAGCATCTCGTCCAGTGTTCCATATCACGTGCCTCCCCGCTGCCTGTTGCTGATGCTGCAGCCATGCCTGCTGCTTGGACAGCCAGCCCAGAGGAGCTGGCTCCGGAGTCGCAGAATGCGCCAGTAGAGGGGCTGGCAGGCTGCAGCTGCTGCCGGAAACCATCGGCCCCTGCACACAAAGGCCGTCGAGCGTGCGATGGCTGACGGGTTCCGGCAGCAGACACCCCAGCCCCTGCCTCGTCTCACCTCGCTGTCAGGATTCCGGAAGTTACCCCCGTTTAAATCATGAGTCTCGAGCCAAACTTCCAAAACTTCAAAAGGATTTATTGGGAGTTAGCATGTCCGGCACTGCCTGGGTGTAGCCGACTCTGAGACACATCACTCATTGTCACCCTTCACCCTGGTTTTCCCCCCACCCCACCCCCTGGGTGTATTGTAATTCATATCCTCCAATGGGACACCTCCATAGCCCAGAGTCATCAATCATGCTCTCCGGTTAGATATTTGCACGGCAAAAACTTTGGTCACTTAGTTACTATCTTTATAAAACTTAATGGAATGCACTTTCGATTTCCAAGTTGCCGCACTGCTCTTTCAAAACCCTTTCCCCCCCTCCCTTTCTGTTGGCAACTCTAAAAAGACCATAGAAATATTTAATGAGTTGACACTCACCTCATCCTGTGTGACGAGCCTCCTGCTCACTGCCCCATCTGCCGCAGACCCCGGATTCCCTCCCCAACCCCGGCCAGGCCCCACAGGTGCCCCCCAAATGACATTGAGCTGGCCAAGCACGTGGGCCATGTCCAGTCAACTGTGACCATCCCAACCACGCTCTTCCACCCCCACCATGGCCCCCCCAAGGACAACCACAATGCCAATACGGTCCTCAATGACATTGAGTTTGACACCCCTGATCGAAGGGAATCTGTTCTGTCCCTACTACACGTTGGTCTGTGTGCAGCTCAACACGCAGCTAAACCCACCTATCCTCCAATAAAACAGACTGTGCGCGTAGATCTGAATGCTTTATTGAAAGAACAGGTTATGGTGAAACTGGGGAAAATAGGGACACGTACAACAAGAACAGAATACAAGATAAGACAGTATTTAGTCACTGCTGAACATAAAAATTATTACAAGCAATTTAAATCTCACCAGTGATGCTCCGTGTGGGATGTCGGTTTGTCTTTGGATGACCACATGCCACAGATTAAAGATGGATGCTTCCTTGTGCTTCTGCCTTCTCCAAATGCTAAAGGAAACGGAGTCTGGCTTTTGTTTGAGAGTGTGGGCTGATGGGTGAAATGGGTTGGGTCAGCTTCAAACAATATACTTGGTATTTTGTCTCTCTGGCCACTAGATGGGGCTAGAGCGCAACAACAGTATATAGAGATCAAATGTTGGGGCATATTTGTCCCTCCGGCCACTAGATGGGGCTAGAGAGCAACAACAGTATATAAAGATCTGATGTTGAGGCATGACAGAATCACATAGTCGTTAAGCTGCCCCATTGACTTTGCTGAGTTGATAAAGGGTTGAAGAGCTTTCATAGATCGGTTGACCTCTGATTCTGTTTTCCCAGGCGCCAAACAAAAGTCTCTTTTCAATCCTTGGCAAGAGCAACCTCCGATTTGCCGGCATTAGCATAGCTGTCAATATTTCCATCGATGGATTGAACCTGATGATCCCTACCACCCGACAGGTGAGTCCTCCGTCCTCCATTTGGGTCGTCCCATCTGCCATCTGACTCCTCCCCCTCAGGTATGTGTTGGAAGAAGGCAAATCTGAAAACCTCCACTTCAAAACACTTTTTGCTAAGATTAGGAATCATGTAAGGGATGATCAGGCTGAATCTGAGGGAAGGGACAAATGTGTCATAAGTCACGAGTCCCTGCATTAAGCGATCTTAATCCAGCCCACTGTGAATGACTTTCTTATCTCCCGCTCATTTCCCTTGACTGTTAGTTGGTCAGATTCTTGTAGAGACCTTAAGGTGTAATAAATCTTTATACTCATTTGAACTACCTGAATCTCCTGATTTTGCCGACGTTTGACGGAACCCACCAAAACATAAAACATAAGCATATGTTGCCAATTTAGAGTGAGATCCTTGGATTGACCATAGAGGTCCGTGATGGCGAATCTATGGAACGTGTGTCACAGAGGGTATGCAGAACCATTTGCGCGGGCATGCGAGCCCCAGCCAAACTTACCTGCACTGCGCATGCATGCGCCTCCCAGCTGATTTTTGGCCTGTTTGAGGCCATTTTCTGGAGGGAAATACTGGAAGTGCCAAAACGGGTCTGTTTTTCGGCCTCCTGAGGCTACAGAAGTTTCCCTCGAGCCTCCGGGAGGGCGAAAATGGCCTCGAACAGGCTGAAAATCAACTGGGAGGCGTGCGCATGTGCAATGCAGATAAGGGGGCGGAGGTTTTGCGCGCGCATGAGCGGGGGGGCGGGGAGCATTGCATTGTGGGTGCCGCTTTTCGCACACCGCAACAAAAAAGGTTCGCCATCACTGATATAGGTGATCCCAATCCATTAGAGATCAGTTAGAGATCCTTTCTTGAATGGGTAAAATCAGAAAGCGCTGCCCAGCTGTAAAATCAATTTACAGGCAGTCTTCGCCATACGACCATTCATTTAGCAATCATTTGAAGTTACGACAGGGTTGTCTTACAATCGGTCCTTGCACTTACATCTGTTGCAATATCCCCACGGTTATTGAATTGTGAACTGAGTGCTTGGCTATGAGCTTGCACTCATGACAATTGTGATGTCCTGGGAATCATGTGATCACTGTTTTTGTCTTCCCCGGCCGGCTTCCAAGAATGGGTAAAATCGGTAGGGAAAGATGCAAGTTGCGGACATATGACCTCTCGCTTAGTGACTGCTGGAAAAAAGGTTGCAATGTTGGATGCAGTCATGGGGTTACTTCATTTCATAACTGCATTGTTTAACAGTGAATTTTTCTGGTTCCGATTGTAGTCCTAAATCAAGGACTGCCAGTGTAGCAAACACCTGATGTTTTTCAACTGGCCGCATGGGCGATCCCAGCCAATGTAAGGGTTGGGAGTCGAAATCCACAAGTTTTCAAGTTGCCAAGTTTGCAAACTCCTGTGGGTTGAACGATACGATCCGGCCAATCGCTGAGCCACGCCCAAGCCCTTTTTATTGGCCTTTTCCCCTTCTTCCTCACAAAGCTGACCATAGCTTCCCTTCCATCTCTATCTGTCTGTCTGTTTCCATTGTAGATCATCGCGAATCACCACATGCAATCCATCTCCTTCGCCTCGGGGGGTGACACGGTAAGGGGAACATTGAACATACGTGTCCTGTGCATGGGAGGGACCTTAGATGCATGGGAAAGAGAAATGCAGGATTCTTGTTATTGTGTTATTCATGGTCGGCTGCACAGTCAGCCAGATGTTCAGACTGGATTTGGCCGTTTTGTCAACCTATTGAATCTTCCCCAAGTACATGGGATAGGCAGATGTGGTTTTTGTTTAATAATATTGAAGGTATTGTAGCAGAATGTCCCAAAAATGCTTTTTCAGGAGGCAACTGGTTATCTGGTCCTCTTTAATAGCCATCTCAGTTGGGGGCCATTCCTGGTCTTAGGTAAAGGTTCCCCTTGCACATACGTGCTAGTCGTTTCTGGCTCTAGGGGGCGCTGCTCATCTCCGTTTCAAAGCCGAAGAGCCAGCGCTGTCCGAAGACGTCTCCGTGGTCATGTGGCCGGCATGACTAAATGCCATAGGTGCACGGAACGCTGTTCCCTTCCCACCAAAATGGTCCCCATTTTTCTATTTGCGTTCTTTACTTGCTTTCGAACTGCTAGGTTAGAAGAAGCTGGGACAAGGAACGGGAGCTCACTCTGTCATCGCGTTACGCGGTGCTAGGGATTCGAACCGCCGAACTGCCGAACCGTTCTGATTGACAAGCTCAGCATCTTAGCCACTGAGCCACCACCTCCCAATCCCGGTCTTAGGGCCATGATTTTCACAGGGCGATGAGGCATTGTGTGAGAGTGGTGCAGTAACCTAGAGGTGGAGTTCTCGCCTCACAATCAGGAGGCTGTGAGTTTGATCCTAGGTGGAGGCAGATCTGCTGAACAAAACTCCACATTGGTGACAGGAAGGGCATCCGGCCATTTAAAAAAACATTCTTCTAGCTCCATTCAGTTGCCTAAACTCCACCCCGCAAGGGATTATGGGGTCGTTAAATAATGATGAAGGAGACATTTTGTGGAGAGGTGATACCTACATGGCAGTCATTGTTGTGTTACTGAGCTATGCTCTTTCCTCAGGTCATTTATCTCAGAATCTAACAAAGCTGACATTTTCAAAGCAGCAGATAATAATATGACCTTGGCACGCAGGAGATTTTTTTTTTTTCCAAACTCCACTGCTGCGAGAAAAGATGATTAAAACCATGTCTAAAATGCAACAATGAAGGCCAGGAGAAAGGGAAGGGGAAGGAAAGGGGAAGGAAATAAATGGCTAAAAAAGAAAGGAAGGGAAGGAAATAGATAGGAAAGGGAAGGGAAAAAAGGAAGTAAATGGATGAAAAAGAAGGAGAGGAAAGGAAAGGAAGGGGAAAAGGAAAGGAGAGGAGAGGAGAGGAGAGGAGAGGAGAGGAAAGGAAATAAATGGATGAAGAAGGGAAGGAAGGAAGGAACTGA